TTTGTATACCTATAGATACCAATGATTAGCATACGGTAAAGGAAAAAAATCGTGAAGAAACCTAGACTTATTATTTCTAATCATAATTATACATAAGTACATATGGAAGCTTGTAATTATCAAATGTCGTTAATTATCTACTAATGCTATTTAAGATTTATCTTTATCTGTAAGTTTTCCTCAAAACAAAATACTTAAATAAAGTAATATTTAAATCGCCAACCCACTTTTAGCAATCGTGGTATTTAATTTTCAGTTGTGGGCATTTAAATTAAAGGCTAAAATATTATCTTTACTCCAGCCACCTATCTTCGGACACAAAAATCATAAGTAAAGAACACCAAAATAAACTAATAAGATTACGCTAAATTGTAATATTAGTAGTTTTTTTAAGTGTGGGAGAACAATGCTCCACACGAATGGGTCGGCTCGACCGGAGTGATACCACGGCGTCAAAGAAAACCGGCGTGAAACAACCACATTGTTGTGTTTCGCCTTGTGAGTGAGGTTACCGGAGGCCCAATCCTTCCCCTCCCCCGACCCTTTCCCAAACCCTAAATCTCCGAATCCCTAATCCCTAAAAGGTCGGCAACGCACTTGTAACTCCTTCGTTGCGGGTGTCCATGGGCGGCGCTGATTGCTTACCATCAGGTAATCTGTCTGCTCGTTTGCCGACTTATTACATAAAGAAAAAGATTAAAACTTTCTAATTCTCACAAAATCACATGAGAATTTAGCGTGCTTCTCTTGAAAGCACGGACTTTAGGTCTTAACACGTAGGCCACGTTCATGACGGACGTGAGACCCGAATTACTGCTATAATAAGCAGAAGTACGGGCTAACGTCACACCAACAAACTCATTTTTAACATACTGAAAAGAAAGATTTTACAATATACATACATATGTAATGTGAGTACTTAGTACTCATATTATATTGTAAAATCTTTCTTTTCTTTCATCTTATTTCTTAAATATTATTAATAAACAAGACCTGTTTATTAATAAACACCTAAATACTTTTTATTTATCTACACGGTTTTGCGGGCAAAAAAATATTGACATTTATAGTTAAAATTAAGTACTTTTTTTAAATATGGTCTTCAATTCTCAAATAACCGGTTGTCAGTCGTGGTTCTCGTATGAAAACCGCTGGTAGTCTCAAAACCAACACTAAAATCCGCCTATGTATATTTTTAAATGCTTATTTTTTATTATAAATAAATATATATGTATACGATTGTAAGTCTTTCTAAAACGTAAATTTGTATAAAATAAAAAACAAATGACGTTATATCAAAATGACTAGGATGGCAATATATCGAGCGGACTGGAGCAGGAGAACGAGCGGAATGGTTTTTAGTCAGTAAGAGTCTGACACTCTCTTGACTTTAATAACCATTCAGCATTTTTTTTTAATCAAACATCACACCTTTTCCTATTAGTAGGATAGTATGATATCTAATATATATGTATATAAATAATTATAAATGTATTCGTTATTAAAACCAAGATAATTTTAGTTTTGTTTAGTAATTTTATGTATGTGTTAGTTTAAAAAGAAAAGTCTTCACAGGAGTTACTGGAAAATAGCGGAAGTGCAAAACTGAATAACCGATGAACTGGTAATATAATTTATAAAAACAAGTATTACTCAAATGACATACTAGTTTTCTTATATATTTGTCCGACGCAAATGGACGATAAATACAAACGTTTGCCTATATGAATGCAATGTTTTTTATTTATACAACAATCATTCTGACGAGATCACAGGACGAGAACGATGTTTACATTCTTTATATTTGACCAGTTTGTTTATCTATATATATAAAAGAAAGTCGTGTTAGTTACACCACTTATAACTTAAGAACGGCTGAACCGATTTAGCTGAAAATTGGCAGGGAGGTAGTTTAGAGCCGGGAGAAGGACATAGGATAGGATAGAGTAGGTAGAGTAAGTTAGGTAGAGTAGGGTAGGTAGAGTAGGGTAGGTAGAGTGGGGTAGGTAGAGTAGGGTAGGTAGAGTAGTGTAGGTAGAGTAGGGTAGGAAGAGTAGGGTAGGTAGGGTGGGTAGTAGGTATAGTAGGGTAGGTAAAGTAGGGTAGGTAGGGTAAGTACCTACCCTACCCTACTCTACCTACCCTAGGTAGGGTAGGTAGTCAAATGACGGGAGCGACGCCGCGGGTAAGAGCTAGTTGTAAATAATGTGTGTTCAATATTATTCAAATAAAGAACACACCACAATTTTATACCCTCAAACAAATTCACTTTCCAAATTTTATAACTTTGACGTAACTCTTTTATATATTAAAATATAAATTACGTTTTTATTGGTATGTCTGTAAAACAAAGTTTGTAACACAATTAACACTACTAAAACACTGCTCACTCTAAAAATTACCTTCCGTTACTCATAAGTAAAGTCATAACATACGTATTTCTTATTAGCTGTGTGAATTGTAAATATGAAAACAATTTATACCGTCGGACTTTTTAATTTTTTAAATGATTTACTTCTAGCGCCCGGCTTCGACAATGCTGATACTAAATTTCGCCACTATTTAATCCATGTAATAATAAAATAAATATACTTATAACTTATACATCCGCAAGGCAGCTTGTGGCGAGCTGTTGGGCAGTGGCGACCCCACGGACCTGACTCCCGGGAGGTGTCTTGTTCTTCTCTCTCCGGTTAGTACTCGTGACGAGCTGGAGTGAACACTGATGAAGAACAAGCCCTCCTACCTCATTCTTGCCTTAATTGGCTGGCTTGAGTGGAGATTCGCAAGAGTAGGAGTTGAAGGAGACTCGGGGGAAGGATGTATCTCAGTAAGGTGCTGGTAGGGGTCTTGACCGTACTTCCGGGATTGCTCTGATAGCCGTGGGATGCCTCTCCTTCCCCAAGCAGCTCAACGTATGTTGCCTCCGTGTCGCTACATGCTAGCGGCCGTTTCCGGGGGCCCATTAATTGAGTTTGCCAGTCACCCCCTGCCTGTTTATCCGTATGTATCAATATTGGTCAGGGGCAGGGGCCATAGTATTTCCATAGTTATCATATCCACCAGTCCATAGCAACCCATATTCATAACCCTATCAATTTTTACCACATTTCACAATAGTCTTGCATCAACCGGGGATTGTCCTTGGGTGCACTTATATAGTGCATACAGGGATAATTGCAGGCTGATGTCCCATCACATTTAGATTAAAATTGTTCAACGGGCCTCTGCGAGTTGGCTTCGGCTCCTCGTATGCCTTCCAAAGGTCCGGGACCCTGTGGTCCCGTGAAAGGAAAGAACAAATAAATATACCTTCCTTTTCAATTAGTCTATCTATTTAAAAAAACACATCAAAATCTGTTGCGAAGTTTTAAAGATTAAGCATACATATGGTCATAGGGATAAAGAAAGCGACTTTGTTCTATACTATGCTGCGATTACAACAGCAATTCTTTTTTAATTTTCTGCAATTAATTAAACACAAGGTTATCCAGGACTACTAATATCCAGGTTCCGTGCACCTGAGTTATACCAGCCTCATGATAGATTCATACGTGTGTGTACGCAGGAATTCATGCATAAATTCAATTCCATCGAGTCGTATTCATACTGCGTCAAGACGAGGCACGCCGCACTTAATTATACATATTTCATTAAAACTCGATGACATTCAGCGCAGGTAGTGAGAGGTATCATATTGATGGCCTAGTTACTGGAAATAGCTAGATTTCTGGCCCGAATATTCGGAACGAAAGCTTCGGAAGTCTGGCCTGTTTGTTAAATTATAATCACACTGATGGACTGGCTTGACATTCACATTCTCTTTTCCTCTTTGTTTTTTTTTACTTTTTTTTGTCTCGATGTCTTCTTGTTCGTTGGTTCAGTGGCCGCATGTGCAACTGCTGATTAAAGGGCCAAGCAATACGAAACTGATATATATTTATTTTTTGACTTTTCGAAAACTTCTCGTTAATGGCACAGAATTTGGGATTTTCCCGATGTATGGCTATAAAGCTCCCTTGTTATGGAGATATGTTTAATGTGAATGTATTCTTAAATTTGATTTATTTTACTAGTATGTTTGCCTGTGTAATGTCTTCCGGTTAAGATAATTCTATATAACCAGCCAGCCTTAACCAAGGAGATGCAATGCAATCAAATCCAATGCACCAAGGAGACTTTTATATTCACCGACTAGTAAATTTCTATTGTCCGATGTATGTTTATATGTATATATCATGTACGTATACAAGTCTCTATTACATAGTACAAATTGTTTGTGTCGGGTAAAAGTTCAAAAACTATCCAATAATTAATTTACCTTACCGGTGATTATATTTTTTCACCGTTCAACCAATGAGGTACGAGTGCCCATTAAGGCGCCACCTTGATTTTATTTGCAGTTTGCCATGCCAAATTTTAGGAATACCAGCTTACCAATGGATCTGAAATTTTGATAAAGGTAAATTGATATCTTTATCTAGATTCTGTCTGAACGAAAACACGATACTGATAATTTTACTCGATCATAATTAATTCCGAAAACACGTCTAAAAAAGTACTATTTTTGAAATTACGAGTAAGATACACTATCTTTATGTTTCAAAATTACTCTAATATATTCGTAACATCAATATTAAGGTTTTGTCAAAGTCATTTTTCCATAACTATTACCAAACATTTTTAATTAAAGTTTTAAGATATCGGATTTTTCGAGCGGCCGCGATCATGGTACACGCTACGCAATTCTGAACCTTATGCCCGTGCTCTAGCGATTGATACACAATGTGTACGGACACGAGCCAGTCCGGCGATAGCCCTCTTCGAGTTCGGATCTGTGCATGTTGTCGCTCCGGCCGTTAGGTATAATAATTCGTGTCGTAATTTTAATTTTAGGTTTTAATTAAATATTTTGTATGTGTAATTATTAGTAGGATAAGAAATTATAGGTTTTATTAAATTAGTAGTATTAAATTAGGTTTAAGTTTAAAATACTTAAAATGGCGAGAACAAAAAAAGTTGTTTCTAAAAGAATAAGGAAACAACAACTTAAAGAATGTGCCAAAAAAATGCAAGAGTTGAAAAAGGCAAGGTAAATAAAAGAAAATCATCAATACCTACCTATGTAGCAATTAGATTATGTAGTTGTAATTTGTTAGTTTTAGTGAAATTATTGTTCTGTAACGTATTTTGTAGTTTTGTAGTTGTGAACAATAACCATTCGTAGTAGAGATATAACTATAGGTAGATCTCCTCAAACTTTACGGCTTTGAATATTGCCCGAGTCGCTGCATAAAAACCATTTTTAGGTAATAAACAGCTGATATTTTTTTCGCGATTTCGACATTGCTTCTATAGTAAATGTTGTTTGATACCATCAACACAAACACGTGTTTAAGTATCGTTCACTAATTACCAGCCACCCTATACTTATATGAATGTCCTTAGATATTGTAAATATTAGCACACATCACTAAATAAGTAGTTAGGTACTACGTAAATATAAGCACTCTGAGAACAAAAAATCTATGGAGACCGTATAAAATTCTCAGTTATATGTTATTTTTTATTTACTACTATTGTACACTAAATAGTTAGGTACTACGTACGTAAATATAAGTCTTCTGAGAGTAGAAAATCTATGGAGGCTTTGTTTTTAGTTGTATGTTATTTTAAAGTTAAAATGTTTATTTTATTGTCTCTTAGGAAAAGTTTGCAAAACGAACAGATTCTGCCAGTAAAATCAATAAGCGACTTAGATGCGATTCCGGCAACGAATGTGAAAGAAACGTAAGACAAGTGATTTTTATATTTTTATATAGATTTAATGTTGGATTAAAATATTCATATATTTTATTGGTATTTATTGGCAGCAATCATTTGGTATTAGAAACCTGGTGTAATATTAATAAAAGCAGCCAACTACAGGATCATGAAGAAACACATAACGTCGATAAAGTTTCTCAAAGTAGTGAAGTTATTGAACAACAACTTAAACAAATTAAGGATGTTTCAAATGAGTAAGTCTCAAACTCTATCTAATCTCGTTCTATAAATATGGTAACTTTATATTTAATCAGCTGAAAAATATTTTAGGTTACTCGTTTTTTATAAATTTGATTGTTATTTGCAGAAATACACGCAAAAGAAAATTTACCGATGTAAATAATGATAATAATATAGATAAAGAAAAACCAGAGTCTGTCAACGAACTATGGGATTTACCTTGTGAAGTAGCAACACAAGGACAGCAAGTATGTGTCTGATAAATCAAACTTGTAACCTTTCATTAAAAGCTAGATAGCTTTTGCCAGCGTCTTAGTCATCTGTTTTTAAACCGACTTCCCAAATTACTCAATTCGACCGTAAATATGCTTTTTATGTTTGTTCGCGCATTTCTCCGCTGTTTAGGTAATAACTAATTTGAATAATTCCTTTTTTGTTTAAAATGAAAAGGTTATCTTTTGAAAATTGTAGGACCGTTTTGAGTAAAATTTTGATATTCAGGTGAAAGTCTGATGTCACTTCAATACCATGAAGATATAGAGCTGATCTGATAATAGAGATGACAGAGCATCGAAGGCACTCTTCGGTTTTAGTCTTTTTGTGAAGTCGGTTGTTGGTTTTTTTTTTTTTTTGTAAAACTTTTTTTAATATAAAATTTATTTAATATGTTGTTTTAAATATTTTAGATTGAGAAAATAAAAGATGGGAATCACAGAATAGTGGATTTCAAATATTTTACCGAAGAGCTTATGCGAATATCCAGCCACAAATCACTATTCCAATGTTCTTTTAACACCATGGAGCTAATTTCGGAAACAAAGAAAGGGTTGGTTTCGAAATTCTTGTATGAATGCTTGCTGTGCAAAACACGGTTTACTATAAAAAACACTCCAGAAGATTTAAATACCAAACTGATTGAGGGTACAATGACTGCAGGTTGTGGCAATGCACAATTAGAACGAATAACAGCCTCTTTAGATTTACCATCTATATCGGAACACACTTACAGTGCTTGTCAAAATAAAATATGTCAGGCCTGGGAGACAACGGCTTGGGATGAAATGAAAACGGCAGGTGAAAGAGAACGCGAGGCTGCTATAAACGAAGGCAAAGTGACTAAAGACGGCATTGCGTTAATAGACGTCATTGCCGATGGTTGTTGGTCGAAACGCTCTTATAAATCCAACTATGCTGCACTCTCTGGGGCCGCTGCCATTGTAGGAAGACGTTTCGGCCAAATTTTATTTATGAGCGTAAAAAAACAAATATTGTTGCATTTGTGCCAGATCTGAAAAGCGTAATACAACTCCTAGAGCACACCAATGTTTTAAAAATTATAGCGGTACTTCAACTGCAATGGAATCTGCTATATTGGTAGAAGGCTTTAAACAGTCTGTTGAAATGCACAATTTAATATATGCTCGTTTTATAGCAGATGGAGATAGCAGCACTTACGCTAAAATTTTGGAATCTCGACCTTATCCAGACGTAACAGTGGAGAAAATTAATTGCCGGAATCACATTTTAAGAAATTTTTGTAATAAATTACAGCAAATAAAGACCGACACTAAATTTAATTTGAATGATAGAAAAAAAGTAACGACCGCAAAAATATTAACAGCAAGAAAATATATCACGGATTCCATAACATATCACAATAAAAATCGAGAATTAGATGGTATAAAAAGTTTACACGTGGATATTAACCAATCCATGAATCATGCTTTTGGCAAACATGGCGAGTGCAACAAAAATATATGCTCAAGAGAAAACGTGTCCCAGGAATGCGCAGACTTTTTCAATAGTTACATATTTAACAAATTAAGATTTATCACTACCAATGTTTCTTCACATGCAAGAAGCCTCATTGAAAATGTTGACAGTAATGTAGTTGAGCGTTTCAATGGAGTTATCGCGAAATTTGTGGGTGGAAAGAGAATAAATTATTCCTTAAAGCGCTCCTACCAAGCCCGTTGTGCAGGAGCAGTTATTTCTTTCAACACGGGCAAAATCCATTCGGCCATATCTAAAAATATATATAAAGCATCTCCTTCCAGAAGGCTTAAGACTTACGAAGAAAAAGTTGACCAAAGAAGGAGATACCACAGAACAATTAAAAGACGGAAAAAACCGTGCTTTGTTGCCAAAAAAACTTGATTTCAATTACGGCGAAAATGTCGAAGCACCTGATATGGATGCAGAAACATATCAAAACTGTAAAACCACTTTTTTGAAAAATTTAGAGAAATGCGACGCCGAAAGAAATGAAATTCAATCACGCACAATTCTGCAGAGTGAGAGCGGAGAGTGGATGGAGTTACGCAGGAATCTTCTAACGGCGTCTAATTTTGGGAAAATTGTTAAAAGGAAAAGAACAAATAGTTGTGCCAATACTGTCAAAAATATGCTTTACAAACCAGACATTGGGCACGTGGCGTCAATAAACCATGGCCGAACACATGAGAAGGTTGCTCTAGAGCAACTATCGAAATTATTAAAAGTGACTATAGACCCGTGTGGACTATACATCGACAAAACTCATCCATTTTTGGGAGCAACACCAGATGGTATTATAGAAAATAACACCCTGGTAGAAATAAAATGTCCTGTAATTCCTTTTAAAATCGGCATTGAGGCAGCCATAAGTCAAGGCAAAATGCATTTATGGAGGATAAATAAAAAAACAGGGGATATCGTAATAAATAAGATGTCCGACTGGTATATGCAGGTCCAGGGACAGATGCATGTTTGTGATGTACCAAAATGCATATTGGCAGTATGGTATGGAGACAATCAGATAAAGGTAGAAGAAATTTTTAAAGATGATGAGTTTTGGACTGATAAGATGGAGCCAAAATTAATTTCTTTTTATTTTGACTGTCTCCTACCAGAATTGGTGGACCCGCGTCACACTCGAAAGCTACCGATTCGGGAACCTAATTACGTAAATATCAGTAAAAATAAAGAAAATTTGAATGATCGAGAATCAATGACCGAGGAGCCCATCAACGTAATTTCTGAAATACAATTTAGTCAATTTTAGTATTTTTTACATAACATTATTATTTACATTTCAGTTTTAATAAATATCTTTGAAAATAATTACTTAGCTTCATTACTTCTTTGATACTTACACACACATTTATTAAATGATACAAGATCTTCGACGCTTTTATTCCTTAACCACTTAATACTAGTTGTTTGTAAGTACAAAAAAAAATCCGTTAAAAAAAATTAAATGTAAGTTGCGGCTCCTTATCTTCCCTGTTCGGTTCTCCTGACCCCGCGGTGACCTCGGCGTTTGCGATTGGCGCGAAATTCAAAATTTACACATTGAGTGAAAAGTATGGGTTGCGCGACGCGGTAAGCGCGCGGGGTGTAGTGGGCGGAGCTATCTAAAATCAAAATATTCGCGGTGCGGTCTTAATTGTTTAAAGACATCTCAAAAAGGTTATTCAACCCATCTACTTACCACAAAGCTGGTCTGTTCTTCGAAAAGAGGTTAAGCATAGCCATACAACGCTGCTAGTCTTTTAGGCACTTTCTCGCTGACATCGACTCGGATTATTTTTGATGCAACAAAGGCAGTTAGGTATTTTTAGTTCACTTTTAAAGAAGAAAATTACATATATCAATCTATTATATGAAGATCGATAAAGAACTGAAAGCTTCTTTATCGGCAAATGCCCTAGCTATCCTACAGCATAAGTAAAGTTAACACAGACTTATCTACCTACCTACCTACTTTAAATCGATTAATGTAAGGGAAAGCTTTATTACTGGTAATTGTACTTAGGAGAAACCGGGGATTATTGTCTCATAGGTTATTTTGTCACCAAGATCATAAAAAATAGCTAAACCAAATACGAAACTTTATTTAAGTCAAATAATCAGCATTGGAATAGATACAATGCCATGGTTATTCTTCGTCGACAACCAATGTACCGATCGTCCCCAAAACCGCTGTGGCAACCAATCCGTGAGACAACGGACCCCAGTCTACAACTATTTCCATTATGACTTTTGTTCTCTAAACTTTTAATAGACACTCAGATCAGAGACAGATCCTGTCTTGTATCTCCGTACCTACGTAGCTACTTACTAACATAATGCAAGTTTCTTGATTACCCGTTTGTGACGCATTCCGTTTGAAATGAAACTCCTTGAAGCACTTTCTCAAGGAAGATAATCCAAGAATACTGAATAAAACTTCTCTGTTCTATGTAGTTGTTGGTGATTACATCTAATTATTATAAACTAGCTACTCCCGCGCGGTTTCACTCACTGCTCGGCCCCTTTTGATTGTAGTGTGATGTTTTATAGCCCATAGCACTCGGGAACATTGTAGCTATAAATAAGTGAAAAAAATATAAACATACAAACTTACATACAAACATACAAACTTACAAATTTTGCCTCTTTATAATATATGTATAGATGACAAATCAATTTAGTGACAGTCTAATTAAACATTATATTGGATTAATTAAAAACAATTATTTCTTCTACAATGTATTTTTCTAAAGTTGGGTTAGGGTTGTAATGAATAAGTGAATTAAAATTTTAAAGATAAACCGCTTAAAATTAAGCTATGTGCAACTAAATCAACATAACACAAACTATTCAGACTCCGATGATATTAACCATTATTGCACAAAAAACTTTTGCAGACAGTAAAGAGTTTCTAATACCCTGACAACAAAACTGAAAAGGGAGTTAGAAAACACATCGCTTTTACACTTTTACCTCCTAAAGACGTTTACAAACAAACACATATCTTAAGTTCACCGAGGAATCTGAGGATACACAAATTTTTGCTAGACAAAAGTCTCCAACCATGCCTAAAATCAGAAATCATAACTTAACAACTTTAAATCCAAATACCAAATATCAAATACATTGTTAAATCTGAAAGGTTAGTTGCGCAACACGAAGGAGTTATCTATACGTAGGGTTGCTTATCTCGCGTATCGAGTCCTTGAACTATCGCGTGCTAATCGCGTGGAGGCCGGTTCGCAGCCCTCGCCAATCTAACGCCCATCTTACCCGTCACGCAGTTGCCTCTACTTACATAGATTATTGCAACACTTTCACTTACAGCCAATGAAAGCGAGTTTGACCCTCGCATTTCTAATGTTCTTAAAATGGAATTTTATCGGTTTGTTTGAATTTAGAATTTGGTATTATTCTATCTCCTGTACACTTTAATACTGTGATTGCTGTATATTCGTTTAGTTTAGAAAAGAAGACAAATCTATATCTCAAAAATAAACCATTTACAATATTTTCAGGCATAGTTTCGTTATTATTCAATAAATTTTGGGAATAACACTTTCAATGACTGATTACAGTTTGTATTAAACACCAGCTTTAAAGTTCAGCACAAAAAATCTCAACAATATTCTAGATTACACACATTCATAGCCCGTGACTGATCACTGGACCGTCTATCTCCTTGAAACAAGCGGGGTTTCCATTAACCTCCACGCTTGGTTGACAGGTTGAAGGCAACAATTTCAGGCGTTTATCAGTCTATCAGAGCTTAGTATCTTTTAATCATGCAGTCACCCTCAGGAATAGTTAAGTATTCTTGTGTGAGTACAATTTTTTTGACGTTGCATTCACTTCATGACTTCCTAGCTACATTAGTCTTCAACTCGGTATCCAGATTTTGTTGAATTTATTTTTCTCATATCTTTCCCCGCTACTAATTCGTGGTGTTGTGAAACTGATACTTACACCCATCCTCAGTAACGACTGTGTTGTGGGTTATGTTCGTACCTATTACTAACATAAGCATGTTATCAAAGACAGGTAGAAGGTAGGCAGGCATAATATTAACAATAAATCGTTAATCCACAAACCATGAAAAGCATATATACTGACATATGTTAAACTTAAAAAAAAGAGATGTTTGCGTGTAAAACAACTATATATGAACTTTAATTGTCTACGTAACAATTATCATTCCTGTTTATATTAATGAGCAAATATTTTTAATTGTGAAACAATTTCATAAACTCTTAGCTAAATACAAACAATATGTATTATTAAACCATTTATTAATGATTTATTTACTTAAACTGAACACATAAACATATGTACGTAGCTATAATATGTTCATATATATATATATAATGCCTGAGACATTGCAAATTAGAATACACATATCATTTATTTACATTCTTAAGAAATAGTTATCAAGTGCTAAAATTATTAAATGTAATTTTATGTTTTTCTACATACACATCGTAAATGTGATTAGGATGGGTTAATCATTACTAAGTTTTTCAACAACGCTGGATTATATTAATACCTAACCTAGTATATCTAACCCTATCACATCCAACCGCCTCTTCTTTCTTACCCTTTCAGGAACAAAAGATGCCACGATATGTTATGCATAATATAGCTACTTTCACATTGAACGTTGACGATAAATATGTAAATTACGTCGAAAATAATTTAACATTGCTACGCGATGGCTACACTGTCTACGCAGTGACTACAAACTTGCTACGAAATCTTGCGACGAACGTCGTAGGGCCAAAGTTTGAGATAAAGACTGTTACTATAATTGATTACATATTTTATGATTTATTATATATATTACGTATAATATCTTATAACTTATTGTATACGAATATCAGTAATACAATATCATATTTGAAATTTAAATTTAGAAAATGCAAATTGACTATAATTTTTAAAAGTATAAAGTATGTTCTGTTCAAATATGTCAAGTAGGAGTTATTTTTAAATCACAAACACTAAATAAAAACCGTCAGGTAGGTATCCCTTACGCAATGACAAATCTAGTAAAGGCCAAATATATTACTATAGTTAATAACCACGTTCAGAAATTTTTTATAAGTTTTTTTTTTCTGTGAGACCTCTGTATCATTTGATAGTAATTTATGAATCTGGAATATGTAAAAAGTCCCAAAAATCTCCTGTCTTATGTTTTTGTCGCAAAACCGAAAAGCGATGCTTGAATTCTCTGCGGATTTTCATACCGATCCTTTACGACTCTGAAATTATAAACATTAACTTCCAATGTACGCAACTTTGACCATAATAAAACAGCAGTGAAATTTTCATTTGTAGCCCAACCCGGTTCCGCTGTACATACAATAATAAATGAAAACAATGCATGAAATCAATAAATAGTTTACAAAATATGCGGCAGTAGGATCATAAAGTAAATGAAATTATTAGTTGGTAGTGTGTAGTAGGGGGTTAATATGGTGGTGTCACGTGATCGCGAGCCGCAGCGTGTTCATCCAGTGGCTCCGTGCGTTCAGCTGAAATATTCGATGGCTGAGGGGAGGTTGTGCGAGGTCACGCCTGTGCTCGGCCGTCTCCGGCCGCGTCCGCCGGCGCTCGGCGCCGCGCACCGTGCCGACGGCGACGTGCGCACAGCGACCTCTTGCGTGCGCCGATACAGTGCCCCATCGAGTTTACGTCCAGCGACCACGCTGCGGACTCTGCCGCTTCTCACACTGCCATCGAATTGTTATCTTAATATCGTTCCTAGGCGACTCGCCTTTAGCGAACGACCGCCGCGAATAATTGCTAAAACGTATATTTTCAATACGACACACCGAAACTAACGCATACCTCACAAAACGGGCTATCGTGCTGTAAACGAGTCGAGCGCTTAATCGATCGACTGCATTAAAAAGTAAAAATTATTATTATCGTTTTGCAGTCGACCTTTGCGGATTTTGTTGCGCTGCGATAGGTGTTTTTTATTTAAATTCTACACACAAAGCAAAAGTGGTCAAATATTGCTTAGGCTTACTGAGTAGTCGATGATATCGAGTGTGGTGCCGTCCTGTGCTTAGTTCGCTCAGTGAACAGTGCGTCAAAATTGTCGTCGAGGTGTTTTTCCTTCTTCGTTTGGTTGCGGGCTTAGCGTTATATATTCTTTCGGTTGGTTCTTGCTTTGTTTTGATATTCTTGTGGGGAAAAACGCGATCCATGCTTGGAGTTATGACTACCATGGTATGGTTTCCTTTGTCTAAGTTATTTATCTACTTTTTCTCTTCTTAGTAAAAGAAGTTAGTTCACATACATTATCACATTAAATTGATGCTTTTAGACTGAACGAATGTTACAACATTTTATGAAAGATCATCGAACCATTCTTCTTTCATAATTTCTTGTAGGGTTTGTTGGTTCTGACTGAGTAGTTTATATCTAGCTATAACTAGTTATTTGAATGTTATTTAGTCGTTTACATTGTATTTCTATAATAAAGCCGTGCTTCTCGCTTTGGAAGCTTCATTGTGACGTGAGTTACAGTCGCTATATTGTACCTATCTATATTCTTAGTATGGCGGCGACTCTATTGTAAAAACTATGCAGAGCATGCAGCCCCTCCCTCGACTCTTCGCATTCTGGAAGGATTCCAGGGGTTCTGTTCAGGCTTCAGTTGCGCTGCATACAATAACCATCAGATCTCGCATTGTTGGCGTAATGCACAGCTTTGTTCATCTGTAGCCACATCAGATCGTTTTGCTACTGGACACTATTACATAATGTTATATGCTTGCAGTCCATTCTTGTAAGTGACATTCTCACCAATCAAGTGTGACAGTGACAGCTGCAGGGACGTCGTTATATATATTGTCGCATTAATTTTTTGACACTGACAATTATTTTATGGCTTAGGAGAATATATATCACTAGAACATACAATGTAACATTGGTAACAAAAGGGATTGATTAGTTCTCACACCGTCCTTTGTTTTACCATAAGGTCAATAACATTGCCTTTGTTACGTGCGACCACTCGAATACGAGCTTTAGTTTTATGGCTCAGCTGTAGCTTCATAAACCCTGTGTATAACGTCGCAGACAACCCAGTTCCTTGAATTGGCATTACCAAGTAACATTAAGCCGAGGAACTTGTGGTTGCAAGTCAAATTTTCTGCGAAAGTAATGAGGTGTTTTGTCAGAAACAAAGCATCTACTTAGTTTATGAATTATAAATGTGTCTAGCATGTTTCCTCCGAGAACGTGAATATAGTTATGATGTGGTTCAAGATTCTCGACCGCCACTAGAGCCTCGTAATGCGAGTTTACGTAACGTCGCTAGCACTCTCGGCTGTCGAAATGCTAAGCTTTTCTGGTGTTTCGTAAGAGGCCATTAAATCAGTGTTTTATTATCAGATTTATAAATTGGTGCGTATTATAAAAATATCTGAGCATTATACATGACTTTATACATTTAATTTGCAACTTAGGAACTACACAGTCACACGTAGGCAGCAACTCACAAGCTTTGCTAACGCTAACTAACGCAGCTTTTATAGAATTATACGTGTAACCAATCAGTCGTCATAATGCCACACTAGATACACTGACCTTTATTTATACAAATCATAATGTACAGATAAGATCACAAATTGGCTAAAGTGTCTAGTAGCATAATGCTAAGATCACAATGGCAGCACTCTGGTCTACCAAGACGTTTCATTCGATATTCGTATTGTATTGTCGTTCAATGTCAGTTTCCTCGTGTCCGTCATTATTCTCGAGCTCCGACAACGGAGAGAAACGTCTTGCGCACATTGAACATGTGCACAAAAAGATGAAAAGAACCGCCTCCCCATTGACACAGTGTCTTGAATGAGGCCCGGCCTCGTTCTCCGCTTTCAGGCGCTCGTAGCTGTATGCCTATTAGACGTGCTCTATACACTTGAACTACTGTCTTAGCCGACATTTGTGGAACCTTAAGCTGCTTCCGACTATTTACGACATAGCTGCGTTTCTTTTTGTCCATTCTTGTACCATACCGTTGTTTGTTACAATAAAGTACATTCCAAAACCATACCATCGTAAAATACCCTCAATACTATTCAATAGTATTGAGAATATTTACTAATACCTACCTACGATTATCGGAATAGAAGAGGACGAGGGTTAAGAAGTGTACGTGGGGATAAATCGATCATCTATGCAAAACACGGCAATCGCACTCCTCGAGTCGGCGTCAGCCTTCGAGCGAGCCGTGCTGGAATGTGAGCACCTGGAGGCGTCGGAACACGGCGGGTTCCGGTGAGGACGTTGGCGCGGCAGCGGCATGGAGGAGCGCGGCCCGCCGGACGTGCCGCTGATCGTGTCGCCGCCGTGCGCCGGCGCCGGCGGCGCGGCGCTCACCACCTCGCGGCGCGCCGCCTCCGCCCGCGGCTCTCGCGATGACCCGCCGCCCTCCACGTGGCGCTCCTCGGTGCGTGTGCGTGACACCGGTTTCCGTGGCTCACGCAAGAGTGTCGTTCGCCTCGAACCGCCCTGTAATGGCCTCAACGGGTTGCCTGCCATCGGCAAGGAGGTAATTCATTTATCTCTTTGCCAGATAATGTCTTTCGACCAATGTTTGTTATATTTAAGCTTTGGAAAGGTATTTTTGATCATGAGCTGGTCTTCATTTTTTGGAACAGAACAGAGTTGGAAGTTTAGAATTTTGTGAAAAAGAAAGCTCGGATTATTTTCTGCCGAACAATGTGTAAGTATATGTTTACTGCGACATGCTGACTGCAATGTGGTGGAATACCTACAGAATAATTAACACTAATAGCGCATACAGCGTGAACCCGCGTATGAACTATTCAAACATTTCGCGCTCCTGCGCCCTCCACACACAGCGCGTGTTGTACTGATCCCAATACGTTATTATTCATTCATATATAATTATATTGAAGTACTATTGCGTGTGATAGTTTACTTATTTTTACACATTTTAGAATAGGAACCCTGAGATCGCTCGAGTACGACTTCTAACCTAAATTGTATGTATTAAAATGGTTGATGTAACGTTTTATTCAGTAAAACTCGAATACCTACGGCTTGAACACAACAGTCACCGAACTGCGACTGCGCATACATACTCGTTCATAGAACATACACAAATACTTCATTCATTACGTTCCATAATTACAATCTTAGCTTTTGAGAATGAATTTTGTTTCTGAATACTTCATCTCATCGGGAATGCCTTCGCTAACGTTTTGATGCATCTTAATTGACTTGAACATATTCAACCTTCGTAGTAACTATAATGTAGCAGCTGTTTTAGTAGATAACATTAAAAAGCAACAAAAAAGTACACGAAATAAATATTGATCTAGAATTTTAGTTTAAACATAAATGTAGTTCAAACTGAATGCAAACCAAATCAGCGAAATGAAAAATATAAAAAAATATATATTTAAAAAACAAAACATGATTTTGGCTTTTTAGAAAATATATTTCAACATAGTCAAACTAAATATGAACAGTTCGATTTAATGAACTAGAGCAACAGAAACAGGGAAATAAAAGCTGGAAATATTACAAATACCCGCGTCTGTCGTGAACAACAGAAGAATGCGTGCGCCGTATCGCACCCGCATACCACAGTAGATGAGTGCCGTGCCTGCAGGCCCACGTAAACAATAGTGACGTCATTGTTCGCAGGTACTGTCTCTGGGCGCGACGGGTGGCCACAAGGGAACCACGCAGCCTTCTCACCCCTGCACTATCCTCCACCATTCTCCTTACAAGGTAAGACCATACTACCTGACCAACGTCATCGCATTCTTATACGGACTCTAAGTATTCCAAATGTTAATGACAACGATAAATCATTCTTTCCTTCCATATAACTACTCTGTAATTACTGAATAGCTATTATGAAGCATTATATAGTTGGTTTTGTAGTTTGCACATAAGAAAAGTCTAAATTATATTTGTCGCATTGACCTCGCTCTACTCGTATAACCCGCGCCAGGCGGCACGCAACGCGCTACACTTCCAAATAGTTTTGTTGTAAAATATTTAAATTGATCGCTGCACTAACTTGTATTACAGGCCGCTTGGGATTGGTTGATCCTAATATTGGTGATCTACACGGCGATATTTACTCCGTACGTGGCCGCCTTCCAACTAAATGAGCCCGACTTTGATAAACGTTCCCGCAGCTTCGGCGAAGATCCCATAGTTGTCATCGACATGATAGGTAATGTTCATGTCTAACTGTGAGTAAACAATTGTGAAGCAATCTTCTTACCAAAAAATTACAAATAATTTTATATTACCAACTACATATTTCTTATTTACATAATTGTAAATCTACATGTTCAACGGCGAGAGTAGACAAAACAATACATAGAAAACTTATTTTATTTGCAGTGGACGTCACTTTCATAATAGACATCCTAATAAACTTTCGCACCACCTACGTTAACGTGGCGGATGAAGTGGAGTCGGACCCTGCCAAGATCGCCATGCACTACCTGCGAGGCTGGTTCCTCATTGACCTCGTTGCCGCCATCCCGTTTGACCTCCTACTCTTCGGCACCGACACCGACGAAGTGAGCTGCTTTACCTACATACACCACATTTGGTTTCATCTCACATACGACCAACACAAAGTTAAATTTAGAATTAGACAACAAAAAGGAATGGCTGACTAGAAGACAAAAACACCAACGGCCTTGCCGTGATTCGCAAACTGGTATCGATAGTCGCATACATGGTTCACTCGCCAAACATCGAAAATCGATTCTAATCGTTTTGGAGCGTGAACCAAGTAAGTTTGCATTTCACGGAGGATATCCAGACGATCAGTTGTCCGAAACGGTGTCAGCTCTTCGAATCCCGAACTTTATACGTTGAGATTATACAAAATATGAATACAGTTAAACTCCAATATAAATAACACAGTGGTCATAGTGGAGGCCATACAGTACAACAAGATTAGGGTGGCGAAGCACGATACATTCCGCATTGTGAAGGGTAAAATAGGTCATAAGAATATGAAAGCAAACTAGGTCAAGTTAGGGTTGCCCGATAAACATTCAAGAAGAAACAATTAGTACCTAGAGTATTTGAACAGTTTGACACTGTCTCGTTCGGGATCTCTACGGTTCTTTCGGACAAATGAAGTTCTGGTTATTTTATAGCGAGTCACGTAGTTGTGGAATGCAGTCAATGCAAGTGTCACTATCGACTAGGTTACCACAGCCGATCATTCAAAGATCCCACTTTATATTTGAATCAATTAGCTATTTATAGACAATTATTTTAAAACAATCAAACTGTGTAAAACCAACTAAAATCATATCATCCAGTATGTTTTGTTCGTAAGCAAAGTTGTTTTGTGGTTTTATTTTGATTTAAGACAACAACTTATTATTATTCCTCTTGATTTTGTTGACGATTATTAAGAGTCGTGATTTATTTTATCATTTGTTAATATTCACGTTGTGGAGAATGCCCGAAGGTGGGTGCGTATTGAATTTGTAATACCATTTCTTGTTACAGCAGGGGCTGGAAAGTGATGAGGTATACCATCTTTGTGAACTATTTTTATGTTGCTGCCACTCAATTTTATTATATTTTTAGTTGACATATTTTATTCATTAATTTCCACTAGCCATTTTGAATCCACTAAGTGAATGCGTTAATGGAAGATATGGACGCTTCCCATGAGCAAAATGTCAATCATTCAAGTCGTACACTGTTCCCGACATGTACCGAAGCTCATTAGTTGTATCACGAGCTTGCAGCCCGCGCCCGCGCTGTGCCGCGCCCGCGCTGTACCGCGCCGCGCCGCGCCGCGCATTTTTGACTAACCAACATGGCTAGATCCGATCAGAACATTGCTCTGCCTAGCGTTTTTTATTCAGTCATAATATGAGTAAATCATCTAAACTCTCGATAGATATTAATTTGACTAGCATTACTACATATATTATTAATGATCCACGTACAAAAGTGGACTTAGATGCGTTTGGGAACTAATGAAAATGGTTCATCATTTATTTATATTTGAGCATAATTTTTAAGCTTTATTAGCACATACAAGTAACGTATTAATTAGTTTGGTAATGATATATTACTTGCATATTTATTGACCTAGTTGAGAACTTGACTTGCGTACTGATTAGTACCACTGAATAGACCCACTACTATAGCAAGGAACGAGCGATACATTAGATGGTATCGAGTAGGACCTAGATGTTGGAAGTGAGACAATGGAATTTCATGAGAATATGATTTCATCGCGAGAATACATCGGTGGAACATTTTTCATTGGCTTTTCTTAGTAAAAGTATACGTACAAAGAGTCACGATATGCACAGAGCTTGGTAGCAATTACGCTCACACTTCCCAGACTTATTGTACCGATCAATAAATCGCCTTATTCACGACAAAGAGCACCAAGTAATAGTGTCAGTCCCCAACTTACATAATACTGAAGCACCCACCTTACATCAAACAATATATCAATATATTGATGTACAATACTGTATCCGCCACTGATCTGTACCCACTTACATTTGTTTACTCATCGTTATTTGTGTTTGTTCAAATTTTACGAATTGGTTTTAAAGATCATCTACATTGTTATTTATTTTTTAACTACATAAGGATTACTTATTTTATTTTAAAATTAAAATAAATTGTTTTGAAACGATTTTATTTATTTTTGTTTTTTCCTTTTTCCAAATCCAAACCTAAATTAAATAAAATTAAATTAGTCGCAGTGTACGGTTCGAACTGAGAACCCCTGAGCGATGGGCGGTACGTTTCAAAACTTTATAGTTTGAGTCATCGAACGAAATCCATCGACAGAGAACATCAACTTCACAGGCAATGCTTCCCATAATATAAACAGCACAAATACCACACGTGTGAATCTTACAATTATCTACAGATTTTACAAGTTTTATATTTTAACTGAATTCGTGTGTGCCCTTTATTATCTAGCCTCTAATCAAAAGCTTTTAATAATTAATATTTTTTATTCCAAATTTTTAAACACGTTTTATTTTATATACCTGTACTAAATTGTTCTAATATTAAATTATAAATAAAGTTTATTGGTAAATATATTAATTAGGCCACAAATTTATAAATATTTCACCAGAAGTGATATCTAATCATTCGCCATCGAAAATGTCGATAATTTTAGGTAAGTCCACAAAATTGTAAAATCGGATATTTGCAAATATTTTTGCAAAGAGTTTTTTAAATGCACGGAGTTGTATGAAAGTAATAAATCTTTGTACATATTTCTAATTACTGTATTCGCTTAAAACTTAAATTCACACGACCATTATACATTCACGTTGGAGCGCACGGTCGTAGGTACTGTGCTCAGTCAGAGTAGCGGGACTATGTAATGATGACAGCGAAGTGATAACAGTTATCAGACAGTATTATGCACCGCATTATGTACGAAGCCAGCTAATTTTATAGTTTTGAAATAATCGCTTTTAATTCTGCAAACAACATACATATTATGTCTAAGTTTGAGCTGGGCAGCATTCATAGGCCAGTTTTGCTTAGTTAGCGTGGTTTTCGCTGCGAGGCCTCGTTGATGCTATTTAGTTTTAAGCGAACGTTTCATATAACGCTTGAGTTGGGTTTGCGGCTAAGTTGCGTTGCACCAGCGGCTGATGGAACGTTCTGAGCTGTGGTTGTGGTGCTTGCAGACCACGACTCTCATCGGTCTGCTGAAGACGGCGCGACTGCTGCGGCTCGTGCGCGTCGCTCGCAAAATTGACAGATACTCCGAATATGGCACCGCCGTACTGCTTCTCCTTATGGCCACATTTGTCCTTATTGCTCATTGGCTGGCCTGCTTATGGTGAGTTGTACCGGTTACATGAATCGAAATTGTGTTCAAGGCTAAATATTACACTCACTAGTATATGTACTTATGTCTTCCGTTTATGTGTATTCCAACTTAAATATTAGTATAGCAATCCAATAACTTATCAAATTTTTCTACACAGGTATGCTATTGGCAGTTGGGAACGCCCTCAGCTCCACGCTCCAATAGGATGGCTGGATGCTCTGGCTAATGATGTCCAAGCTTCTTATGACAACTCCACTGGTCCATCCATGAGGTACTGTTACTAAAAAGATATAACATTGACAACTTTTTGTTCCAATAACTAATCTGTAATGTGGTCTTTCAGATCTAGATATATTACCGCTTTATATTTTACGTGCACGTCGCTGACAAGCGTCGGTTTTGGGAATGTTGCGCCGAACACAGATATGGAGAAAGGATTCACGATATTTGTTATGCTGGTTGGCTGTAAGTCACACCTTTGCTAACTTTATTGCTGTTAGTGAATTATTCATAAGATGACACAATTATGTTTATCTTGCAGCACTAATGTACGCCAGTATCTTCGGTAATGTATCGGCTATTATACAAAGGTTATATTCGGGAACGGCTCGTTATCATACACAGATATTAAGAGTACGAGAATTTATTCGTTTTCATCAGGTAAGAGACATATTACTCTAACAATAAATTGTACGATATAATGTTATAGCGCCTGTTTCATCACCTTCACATAAGGATATACTCGATAAGCTTATATGGCTCAAAGTTAATACAAATTACATTAAGTAATCTGTTCATATTGGCTATCTTGGCTTTCTGAGACAGTAAGAGTTTGTGGATCACAATTATTCGTACGGTACCAACATAAACTATTGAACCATATTTTGTGGAGTTGTATATGAAATTGTATGTTTGTAATGGGTGCGTTTACGCGTTGATAAATGATAAATGAAAAATATTCTGTTTATTCTGCAATACTTCAACAATTATAATTTACTTTATTTGGGAGGAGATAATCGCGCCCTTGGTGGAGCTAGAGGAAATAGTAGTTGGACTCATAGGTACTTACTGAAAACCACTCCGTTCCTTCTACTGCTCCAGGCCGGGGTCATTATTGCGTAACCCCGAAATAATGATTTACTGGAACAAAAATTTAATAGAAGATAGAAATTTTTCCTACCCTAAGTAGTAGATGCACTAGGAGTTGTACATCTGCCATTGTCTCTGTAGTGTCATCAAAAACAGCTACTAATAAAAACAATATTTTTTGTAGATAACGAACCCATTAAGACAAAGACTGGAGGAATATTTCCAACACGCTTGGAGCTACACGAACGGTATCGATACGTCCAGCTTACTCAAAGGTTTCCCGGAGTGCCTCCAAGCAGATATCTGTCTTCATCTCAATAGGAATTTGCTCGCGAATTGCTCAGCTTTTGATGGTGCTAGTCCAGGTTGCCTAAGGTTAGTTTACAACAGATTTTTACCTGAAAGGCAAACTCCGATCTTTTTATTCGCAGAAATAAAAGATTTATATCGAACTCATGCAAAATTAAAACGTCAGTCCGAAACTGCATCTGTTCAAGGTCAATAATCACTTAAAACAAATACAGTCATACGATATGCTAATTAATAATTTCAATCGATAATCTTGTTACAGAGCCCTGTCTTTAAGGTTTAAAACGACACATGCGCCCCCTGGCGAGACTTTGGTGCATCGTGGAGATGTTCTCACCTCTCTTTACTTTATATCAAGAGGGTCTATAGAAATTCTGAAGGATGATATTGTTATGGCTATATTAGGTAAGTCCTGAACTATTACCCTGAAACTGAAATAAACAAGTTGTATCTAATTAGTGTAATGATTTCGGAATCTATATAGTAGCATGTGTTTTTATCTGTGCAGTATATAGCAATAGGCTTATTTATCATACATAGATAGAACTAAAGTGGATGGATTTACTTATACATGAAACGAGTCTGCCTTGAAGAAATATTGGCATGTCTTATATGTTGTTCAGGTAAGGATGACATTTTCGGCGAGAACCCGTGCATATACGGCACAGTGGGGCGCAGCAACTGCCGCGTGCGCGCGCTCACCTACTGCGACCTGCACCGCGTGCACCGAGACGACCTGCTCGACGTGCTCGACTTCTACCCAGAGTTCCGCTCCTCCTTCGTCAACAATCTCGAAATAACATACAATATGAGAGATGTCAGTAGAACGCGTCTCAATATTATTATTTATACCCATAACTTGATAATGAACAGCAATTTGGGTAGCCATTGCACTGTTTCTAGGCGTTCTATTACAAAAAGATAACTAAAGTTCGGCGTTTTCGTAGTACTTCGTAGCAATTTATCGTAGCTAGACTACGCGCTACGAGGCTCAACGTAGTATCTACGATTGCGTAGACATAACGTAGCACACAAAATGTATATTGTTGAAAAGTTTAATGTTTTGAGGTTTGAAATATTGTATTATTATGGCATTAGATCCAAATCGTTTCTTGATATTAGACATTTTACACCTTTATTAGTTAATTGGTTTTTGTTTTGATATTAGACATGTTTTAACCAGTATTTAATATTATGGATTAACGGAATTTAACTGATCTAATATTATTGAAGTGTCAAATTGTACTGATATCAGCTGGGGTGTTCTTTTTATAGGAAGAACTGGGTGGTATCGAGCCAAAGCGTCGCATGCGATATGAGAACCCGTGCGATGCACGCTTGCTTCGGGAGGCATACGCACGAACTACGCGAAGGCCGCATACTGAAACGTTCGCGGAAAAAGTTGTGAGTGACGATATCTAGCTGCAAAGATATTTGGTCTAATTTACACCTGGGAAACTATTTGAGGTATTACACATCATTTCTAGGACTCCCAATGCAGTGATGACGACACGGAGTCCCCGGCCAGTCGCGGCATCTTGGAGTTCTCTGCGGACAAGGCCGGCCAGGACGTCACCCCGCTCAACTTCAACTTCAGTAAACAGCGCTCAACCACTCTCAACTCTATCACCGGTAAGTCGACGAGCATACCAATGGAATGTACCTTTATTTCTTTATTATTATGAACGTACACCACAGACGCCCGTGCGCAAAGTTCAATATAAAGTCACAGAGATCACGGGTGGCATGTTGTGGTAGACCCTCCTCTATTCATAGACTAGATGACCTACACATAGTAAATGGATGACCGATATGCATCTCCCTTCGCCATGTTTAAGAATCTTCTCTATACTTACTGCAATACCTTAACGTCCGTTTTTGAAAATAAAATATATATTTATTTCTTCGTTAAGGGATTTGATTTCTATCTTTAAATATTTTAATAATTTAATTTTAATCATTAATTTTTATATTTTGCAAAAAGTTTCATGTTTTGTCGTACCTGTATCAAAATACGTGCACAGTATCTCGAATTTATTTTCAACTTTTTGCAAAATTTATTCGATTGTACAAAAATCATTGCAATTAAATCAATTGGACATAACATTCAAAAACACAAAAAAACATTTGTCAAAATTTCTAGCGACTAATTGAATTTTATTTCATTTAGGGCAGCATGTGTTACGCTTGTTTCCTTGTTTATTTATATTCCTATTTACTGGTGACGTGGGAGGGGATGCGGTGTGGCTATGTATTCGTGGCAAGTGGTGGCACTGCTGGCGAGCTCATGCCGCCGCCGGCAGTAGCCACGGGGCCACCGCGGGCACCGACTCCCGGCCCGCGGCGGCCCCGCGCACCCCGCACCCCCGGTACCGCCCGCCCCGCTCTGAGCGCGGCCCTTGTGTGCAGGCATGCTAGCGCAACTTAAACGGAGCTTCCCAGACCTCTACCATCATAAAACACATCAGCCACTGCACAACAAGTACTGTAAGTATGCATATTATACTACTTTGTAGTGCATGATCAGCAACTAACATCTAAAATGTTTATACAACGATACTGTGTCATCAGATTACCGGTTCCAGGGTACCCATATATAAATCATCTGTACAGTGCCGACACGAAATATTTAACGGGAACCTTCATTATAACATAAGAAAATATGATGTATTATAATTAATCCAAAATTTTACATAAGATCGTGACTATTGTAATGGATTTTAATAGTGGCTCCAGACGCATCACAATATTTATAAACCATTTATGAAGTAATAATTTTATATTACTACATTACATAGTAATAATTTTGCTAACATAACACAATTAATAACATTCGCTGAATGACGTACGCATCCCTAAACAGTTCCGAACTAATGTACATTACTATACACATGCGTAATTTCCAGCGCAATCTACGCCTCAAACGTATAGAAGTCGAGCGGGCGTGCGCCGCCAGTCGTCCGTGGGGCCGCTGAACGACACGTCGCCGTTGACGGGGTGCGCGGCGGCGGGCGAGCCGGCCGTGAGCACGCCCGCGCACAGCGCCACGCTGCCCGTGTCCAGCCTCAGCACCAACCCCAGCTCGTACTACACGAACGCGTCGCCATCGCCGCCGGCCGCGCCCGCGCACCAGCACGTGTCCTGCGACGACATCCTGGCGCCCAGCGCGCCCGCCGCCGCGCGCACGCCCTCCTGCCGCTCCGCGCCACATTCCGCCGTCAACCTGCACCAGCCTGCCTGCAACGGCGGCCGCCCAGCTGCCCTCGCTCTGTCCCAAGACAAAGCACAAAATGCTGCAAACGCACAGGTTCGTTATAACATTAACGTTCACGTACTCTTTATCTAATCTATGCCTGCTTATTCACGGGTATTATCCGCGGGTATTATTATCATATTCATAGTAAATACTCATATTAGAGGTATTTATTTTAGCGGTAAGATTCGTTACAAATATAGGTATTATATTCAGTATTTATGTGTCTACTTCAATTTGAACGATACATTCGTATTACGCAACTGACCAAAAAAATGAGTATTTTAAGTCACATTGTTTATATTTTGTTTAAAATATTGCTTTGTTTTTCAGGAAAGTATGTCGCCACAGTATCAAAATGTCGGATCCGCTGCGACGGCAGCCTCGGTAGCGACCGTACTTACAAGACTGGAAGAGTTAAGTCGTCGTGTAGCCGTGCTGGAGTCTGGGCTTACCGCAGACGTGCGACGTATCCTGCAGTTACTGCAGGCACGCGAGGGCACTGCACACCACAGCGCGCAACCCGCTCACACTCCTTCTACGGTGTTACCTAAAGCCTCTCTCTCGGTACCTCAAACGAACGAGGTTAGTCTTATCACCAACATTAAACTACCTAGAAAGCTCATTAACAAGTATAATATAATTGACATATTTTGTGACTATACAGTGGGAGTGGAACTGGAACGGGGAGCGCGAGCGCGAGCGCGGCGGGCGGTACGGGCGCGGCGAGCGCGGCGAGCGCACGCCGGGCGTGCAGCGGTCGGCGTCGGAGCCGCACGCGCCGCTGCCGCCCGCGCTGCCGCCGCCGCCGCACTCGCACTCGTTCTACAGGTAGTGTGAGGCGGGCGAGACGAGCGCCCCCCGCTCCCGGCCGTCGACGCGCTCGCTCGCTGAGTCCGCGTCGTGCGGCTCGCTGGCGGGCTCGCTGGTGGGCGGGGAGGCGCCCGCGCCCGGCGGCACGCGCCCGTCCCTGCCGCGCGCGCGCTTCCACTTCTGCCGGCGCATTGCGCGCTGTCGGCACGACGACGTCCGGGGCTTCCTCTGACGCGGCCCTCACCCGACGCATGGACCAATTTTGTACTTCCGTTAACGCCTAAATAAACACGTCCTCGCGATCTCGCGAGCGGGTGGCCTCTCCCGCCCGTGCCGAGTCCATTTGTAATAAATTTCATTAATGTTCGCTTTAGTAAAACTTAAGAATGTCCAGCGAGCCGAATTTGGCTAACTCGAGGAAGGGACACGAAGCCGTTTCACATGTTATGGTAGTGTACGACTACACGAGTGGTTAGAAATGCAATAAGTGGTGGATATATTGGGTGCTTTAATTTTATGTATGTAATTTACAGGCTTTTAAGAGAAGTAAATTTTTACATGATGTATTACGTATGGATATGTGTACTATCTGACCGTATCGTTCACCAGCCCTTCCGGTTAATGTGTTTAAGTTAACGAATCCAAGTGTGTTATCCAAATTGACTTATTAATGTATCTACGTAATTATTCTATTCTAGACTTCAGCTAATTCAGAATGAGGCTTATAAGACTGAGAGACTACGTAATACCGTGAACTGTATTTCCAGAAGCGAGTACCTAACGATAACGCTTTCTACCCGTCCTTGCTCCTTGCCTTTACATAGTAGCTAGGTAATGTGTAACACTACTATGAACGACATAAGAACTGCTCCTTGTGGAAGTGCGATTCTGAGGTTTCACTCAACACAAGTAAACACATTAGTTGCCGCATTGTCTTCAATGATGCAGGACTACATCAGCAATTACCAAACTGTTTCGGTCGCTTGTGTTCGTCTGTTACACTACGTTCGAGTGGTTCCGAGCACTGCGTTAGTACTCATCCTTAATATTCCAACGTTTGTCTCGGTTCTCTGTTTAATTTATGTGATTACTATAATTGTGGCTCAAAGTAACTTTATGTTGTAATGTGTATCCTAGTTACGGAGTAAGTGATTTCGCCAATATATCATTATAAGCAATAATAAAGCCCACCATAATTAAGGCACATGGTTATAACGTAAGTGGCTAATAACATCAAATGTTAGGTGTAAAGTATATAACCAGCTAGGACTGCGGTCTTTCGACGCATTTAGGACTCTCAACTGTACTTAATCTCTGACGTGATCATCATATCATTCTGCGCCATATCGTTCTATCATTGCAACCTGCATTGTTACATACTCTACTCTACTGCTGTCCCTAAATGTATCAGGGACTTCTACTTAACATTTTATTCCTTTTAGCAATATTTGTGATTAATTGAAGTGTTGTTTATCTACCAAAACCGGTCAATTAATGTAAAACTAATTTCTTATTTGTAACAGCACTACAATTTTTACACTTGTCACTCCTTCAGATTCTGCTCTCTGATTGTCTTTGTAGATGACAGCATCGATACTAGCTAGACCTTTAAGCAATATTTTCTTAATTCTTACTACTTTCACACATTCTCTTTGAAGCGTGTTTTCCATAATATTTATTTATGTAAGACAAGCGCTATTTGTCGAATGTTATACTTATTTTCAAGCAAAGCTATATCTCTGTCTGCCTACTACTTGTACACGATACTAATGGTCTTTCATATTCAACCACTCAACAGTTATCATCAAAACGAACGAATGGGTGGTAGGGAACTTAGTTCTGAAATTTAAACTGCCAAATCAACAAAAAATAGTTATTCAAATAAAAAAGAGCTAAAATCAATGTTAATCTATGAATCGTTATAATGATAAAGTATATTAGAGACAATAACACGCGCGGCGTGCGATGTCAAGCACCGCAGCGCCCACGATAAATATCAAACCAAAAGGATTATTTCAATAACAGCTTTAATTTATAGACATTTATCATAAAGTTGTAGAATTGTTCAGACGTTTATGACAATGACCCATTAGATTAAAAATAATTTACATAGAATATCGCACATTACTTCAATAGTATTTCCGCGCGTAGTTGGTGATGTAATGTAAATATTTAGATACGTAGACTTAGGTTTGTAAATTGGTCAATTCCCAAATGTTATACTTATTCTTCAATCTATCTAGTTTATCGAAATTAATAGCTTTGCTTTAAATTATCATCACTGTATGCCGAGCATTCTAGATCTACATTTAAGCATTGTTATTTGCTTTAGTAGTTATAGAGTTACAATTTGCCTGAATGTCATTAAATACTTAGTTATCAATTAAAATATACCATTATATATTAAAAGTAAATAAAACATTAAAATATCACCATTAGTGAAATAAAAAAAGAGTCCATTATCCCACTAAAGATTGGTCGCCAAAATTATCAAGAACAATAAACAAAATGGCAATAAAAACAGTTTAAAATAAATAAATCAAATGTTTAGGCTTCAGGCTGATTTGTTTACTTAACTTACTGACTGTTTATTTCGGTTTTTCATAGAATTTAAATAGTACAACAAATGAACTAAACCACCGACTTTTTACTCAAAGCACTGACAATTAAAACAAAGTAGAATTATTTATTAATAGTACCTACCCTCTGTATAAAAGCCATCAGGGGATCACATAAAAAACATTATTTGAACTTGCAAATGTTTTTTTTACCTCCATGTGATACGACTGAATGGGAAAATAATTTGTTTTCATAAAAGTGTTAAATGCAATTAATTCACAACGAAAAATACGTGAGGACATCAACGTCCATTGCCCTAAGCACAATTCCTGATTGAACAATCTCAGAAAAAAACTAATTGAACGTGTACGATTGCACGCAATTCTTAATTTGTATATTATTTATTTTTATCTATGAGCTAGGACCCCTCTAACGTTATCTTTACCTTATTAGAGCCGTCACATGTGTACATTATGAACACGCTAGAATGGTTTAGAAGTTTGACTAATAGCGCTTAAGCACAGGGTGTAATTTGGTTCATAAGTCATAATAACTTAAGATCCTAGATAACTAATACTAATACTAAAATTATATGATTAAATTACCATCTATAATGTTAACGTAGGTATCTACTGTCTATATTAATGTTGATTAAACGTAGAGTTTCGGAAGCTTAGTATGTTTGCCGGCACACGTGCACCGACAACTTGGACGGAATACTCATGTATCCTTCTCTAGTCTACTCGTAATGCACACTGATCATTTTCTCCGACATACATAGATATTTCTATCACATTTCCGATGACTTGTTGCTGATTTAACTTAACATGTGCGTAGGTTAGAGCTTAAGGAATGTATCAATCTTATGATCACTACCATCTAAAGGCCTACTATTGCTAATTAATGGACTTGAGGTTGTCCGTTTCGCAAATTGTACGCAAGGGTACTTACTTCTTCGTATACGTTGCCCATATCGTTCCCATGCGCTTCCATCATTATTACCTAAACGCATTATTTACATCGTTCCGAAACTTACACAGAACTGACTTTTGCCACACTTCAATATTTTTCAGCCACTAGTTTTCAGCTACTTGCAATACATAGCACTCGTAAGTGCCGACAACAGACATCAAAATCATCGGCACCTTCTCCGCTAAGAAAGGCATCTTCTTGTCGCTAGAATGCTTCAATGACGTACTAATAAAAGCGATCTGGAGTCGTACTATATGAGTACTATTTTTAATTTATTCTGTGACTATACGTAATAATAATGAATTGTATAAAATAGCATGTAGGTGCCGAGGTTTTAGCTGAGACGCCCTTCAGAATTATAGCTGTAAGTGTAGTTTAAGAGGTCACCTTGCGAAAAGATGTTCGCTTAATCATTTAAAAATTGTTGCCTTGAAATATTTTAGACACAGAAAACTGGTTGTTTCAGCTTTGAATAATCTCACAATTATATTAGAATATTGTAACGATAAGTTAAGTATTTTATATTTCAAGAACATAAGCGCAAAGTTAAAGCGTGCATTGTATTATGTAATTTTGTCTGTGATCAAAATTTTATATTGTTAAGCTGAAAAAATTAAGCGCACGTATAATTATTTTGAATGCTACCGTATTACTTTATACATTCTGTGTGCTTTTACACGAAAATTAATTTGCCACCTGAAACACCATTAGGATAGTCCGTACTATCTTCATGTAGATAGCAGGAACTCTCCCCATGGCTGTTTTTCTGTAGTTTTTATTATCTGTTAGCCTCGATTTTAAGTCATAACCATCATGATCAATGAACTAGACGTGCTTAAATATCCATGAGACCTATTTACTGTAATTAATAAATCATACGTTGTGCGTATTTCTACGTATCAATCCTATAACTCTTATTAAATGCATGAGCATAAAGCATGAGCTTAGCATTAATCGATATATTTCGAATAAATATAAATAACATAAATTAGATTTGTACCTATCTATATTTATACGCGAAAACCTCGACAATAAAGTCCCCTTGCCTTCATACTCGTCTATGTATACACTACAGCAGATGTGTCTAAAAAGCATAACAGAATGTATGGGTAAATACAAATAGGGACACGTGTATAATATCTCCTAAACTTTCAGATATCTTATTGTTATTAAATATCTCACTAATTATATGAAAAGTGTACATTTAATTATGTTATGAACAAGTTCTGTTATTGACAAAACATTATTGTAAAGCATGTTGCGTGTCAACCGAGTCGTGACGACTGAGCTGTGTGGCTACAACTTGTTGACTTATTGCTGTATTGAACTTGAGGGAACTGTTGGAAAGTACTTACAATAAGAGATAGGTAGTAAGATAAAGCCTATTTACGCGAGTCTGCCGTTAATGATATGGTCGTGTTCGACATATATAAGTACATATGACAATTGTTCTGTGGAAATACAATACAGCATGGAGCTTCATATTTTATGCTAACCTAGGTATTTTTAATTTCGTTCATGGCTCTGATTAAAGCAGTGGAGTGTACATGGACCGCATGCAAACTACTGGAATAGTGTGCTTACTGTATTATTAAAATTCGATGTAACACAGTTACATCCTTTCAATGATTCATTCAACAATCTGGGCATTCATAAAAATCATTCACATAAAATCAGCACAATCGGTGTACCTATCTGCATACATACATTAATTAATTAACTTATAACAGAATATAAAAAAAAAGCAAGTACATATTTCTTTTTAAGCAAATACGTGTGGATTTAGGCAATAATAATATTATAAATAATAAAACATAATAGATATGTTTTTATTTTGAATTGTAAGTATCTCTCGTACGTATAGGTTTCCATGACGCTTCTTTATCAAGATATTTCATTGTAAGATCAGTTAATTTATCTCTTGCAGCATTCAAACCAAATAGGTTGTATTAAGCAGTAATGTTAAATGTTTTAATACCTACAGCTGTTTCTAAATAAAAACCAAGATTTTTAGCTTGCCCAGCTAGTGCAGATTCCATTTTTATACTACTTATCTAATGAATACTGTTCAGTGTATATAGATAATAAATAACTTAAAAGCATTGTTTTAAGGAAGCTCGCTCCTACAGCAAATTATTTATGTTGTGCACCCAATAATGATAGTGACAACGATCAATATTTTATTTACATCTACGTTATTCTAAGCACTGACTGGAAAGATATTATGACAGTTAATTTATAAGCCACAAATTTTTGCTTTAGGTATACTTTTTATACAAATTATTGAACGTTTGTTCATTATTGTTATAATAATATGCGTAAACAGTACATGTTAAATACTTACGTGTACGTACTTAGAGCATTATAAACAGAGCACATTAGTCACATAGTTAATCAAAAGTTTGCATTCATTGAACAGCGCAAAATTCTCGTGGAATAAGTTCAGTGGAATAAAATATCACGCACATGCGACCTATTGTTTTATTTTTTGTAAACCTTTTTCAGATATCATCTACTAACACAACTGCAACATTCAACAAAATACCAATTGTATTGTCAGTAATATATAACATTTTTCTGCCGGTGCTCAAAGAAATTATAAACAATACGCTCTGTCGGTGGGCACCTCAATACATAATTATATCTAATACATATTAGATAACGTTACAATAGTATACGTAGCCCCCATACTAACTAAAAAGATACTATTTTCCTATTCGTTTACAAACACATAACTCCTCATATGACACCCATGACCCAGTGTCAGAACAACAGTATGTAGATCATACAAAAAAAAATGATTCCATGCGAGAATCGAACCAACACGTGACACTTGCAGCTATAACGACCGGTAGCCCAACGGCCCAAGACTTCTTCTCAACCGTCTTTTAGACTTGACTCGAGAGCCCTTTAGCCCACCGCACCATTTATTTTTCTTTTTCGTAAAATATTCAAGTAAAGAAATGTAATAAAGATGCTGAGAACTTATCAAACTAAATAAAATCCTAACACTAATCTGAAGTTAGCAAGTTTCCAGATAATTGGATAGTTTGCTATTAGTTATAGATATAAATCTAATCAGGCACTATATTGAAATTTTGCTGTAAGTTTTCGTGCAGCATAGTGTATGTTTATTGAAATTATTTTACCATTTATTTTTGACAATAATTAATTACTAAAATGTTATTAAGGCAAATTGTTTGGCTTAAAAAACTTGTATCCAGGCCATAAACTACAAAAAAAAAGGCAAATGTCATTGTCAATGTCAAAGTCAAACCACTACACAGCGAGCGCGAACTCTGCAGCATTTTGGTTGCAATTTTATTTGTTTTGTTTACTGAATAAAAATATACTCAAACAACAATAATAATCAAGCCATGAAATATGAGTTCACAAGCAGTGAAATGCCATAAATGCCGAAACGTATTGTTTAATGATATATGCATACTGGACAGTGCTGATTATTGTGATGCAAAGACATGTGCAAGTTATGATATCAGAAGGTTTATTTACATCAGTGAAGATAAAGTGCCCGATTGGATCAAAGACAAAATAGAAAGTGAAGACTGGACTAAAGGAAAGCTAAACTGTCAAAAGTGCAATAATAGAATCGGCGGATTCGACTACATATCTGGAAGAAAGTGCGATTGTGGAACGTCAGTCTTACCACCCATACATTTAGTTACTAGTCAAGTCGATAGGCCTATAAAATTGCTATTGTAAATTGATTTCCTAAACAAATGTTTGTAAGATTAACATGGTAAGTGGATCAATGTTACCATGTGTTTTTTCAGTTCAGATATTGCAACTTTGTCCACCATTAACTTAAAAATATATTGTCTCGCTAAATCTGCGTTCCAGCACCTCACAGGGTAAATGAATAGACACGTTGTAAATGAAATCCTATTAATTAAAATGCATTCATTTTTATGAAACTAATATAAATTTTACAATTTTATTGAGCTAATAAAATAAATTGTTTATAATTAAAAGGCTTATTTATTTAATTGGCTGCACATTTAGTGCGGTGCCTGAGCTACCAGCTACAATGCAGTGTGGTGTCATTGCATAAGCATAGACCACCTTTTCATATGATATAAAAATATCTAACTCTCATTAAATCTTAAACATGACAGTTAACTATCAACAATGAGTTCAGTTATATTATTAATGAAGATATAAAATTATACCTTGAGCTTTACAAGTTTGGTAGGGTTTGAGCCTACAATGTTCTATCTATGCATGGTATGCCACAGGAATGTATATCTGACTTACTTATTAGAAATACAGTCTTGTCATGTCAGAAACAGATTCATCATGGTTTAGTGTATTTCACCCACAATGCTCTACTTTCTCTCTCATAATATTTAAAATATTGAAAATATATAGCATATTAGCTATTATATATACATATATAGAGTTTTTATTTTGTTCCTTCACAAAAGCTGAAAAGCTTGTAAATATTCTGAAGCTTGAGTAATTATTACAATGTGAAATGATCCACCAATATATTACTGTCAGTGGTAAGTATAAAGTGGATGGATATTTAATGGAGCTAGCATAGGGCTTATGAAGGCTGCAAAGCAAATGCAAAAATAAAACCAAACATTCTTTTTTTTAATTTATATTACAAAACATAAAATATTTAATTACATTATTACTACTATGATAGTAGATAAAACATAGTTATATTTTTTCAACATTTTTAATTTATGTGAACTTGAACCGCTAAACACATGCAGTGTTTACCAGTTCAAGTTCTCTATCATTGTCTTTACTACTAGCTTAGGATACTGTTATTAGAGTCAATTCCCTTTGTACTCCTCTACAATGTTGATATTATCGTTCCTCAGGATGATGTTGAGTACAGGATACACCAGCTAGTCAAAATGTTGTTAATGAAAAGAAGTGGAGATGGCTGAAAAAAATAAAAAATATTGTAAGAAACATGTGCATAGCTACAGTAGGTGACATGGAGTATCAAGATAACGAGAATGGTGTCAATGTAAAAATGCATTAGGTAGGTACACTACTGTTTTAATGGGACAAGTCCACCACAACCTCCCAAAACAGCTGCAATTCCTATAAGACAGTATCTACACTAGATACACCATATAAACACCGAAACAAGGAAGTCCTAGAGATATTCTTGGATCCCGCAACAAAATAAATCAGATCATATTATTTGAGGAGAAGAAAAAGCAAAATAGTTTCCAAGTACACTACTCATGGATACATAATCCATGCGTCGAGTCATACTTGAGATAATTACCAACTCTTGTTGGAGGATCCTTCTTTTCCTACTTCTAACATAGAAAATATTCACTCCCTAAAATGTGTTAAGTTTATATAACAAAATATTATATGTACCTTATTCAACAACCATCGCGCTTGAAATTGCAAGTTCCACATCCCTACATTTTGCTAATTGTAGCTCTCGCCGAATCTAAAAGATAAAATATAATTATTAAAACTAAAAGATAATTAAATTCATGCAATTATATTTTAAAATACATTACATCATTAATCATTATACCTCAGGGGTGATTGTGGGATGGGACTGCTTTCTCAATAATTCTAAGAGAGCATCTCTCTGTTCTGTTGAAATGTCAGCCTTGTAACGCTGCACAAATGTCAACAATGCCTGATGCCATAGTACGGGCAGGTTACGATGATCACTTTGGAATCTAGAAAACAGAGCCTTATGAGTATTTTGCATTCCTATTAAAAAAATAATAGAAAATTGTAAAAGAAACTATTATGTTTTGTCAATCCATAGAGCCATTCATACCTGATGAAGTGGAAAACAACTGCATCCACAACTCTATATGGTAGAGCATACTTTTTATCAAAGAGTATTCTTAAAAATATTGAATTAGCTCCAGTGTAATCCATCTCAGCTATCTTCAACATAGCTGCACTTGAATGCAATACTGGCACTGAATTACGAGCTAGTACAGATCCTACAATTATGGCTTCGCGGAGTGTGCAATCACCTGCCTGACAACATAAACACAAAAAATTATTCTCACAAACCAAAAACCACTCTCGAGTCATACCAACCACATATAAGAAATAAAAACCTAATACAAATAATTTCCTTACCTCCAACAATGGCAATAAAATACCCTTCATAAAAGCACCAGGCTTAAACAATGCTTTCCTCAAAGCTTGGTATAAATGAAAGTTCAATCTTTTGTACTCGGCCAGATCATCACGAACACGAGGCAGAAGGACTAGATTATAGAATCGTTGTGCCATCTTCTCTTTTAAATTGGATGCGAATATTCTGGTAGCCTAAAAAGGGCCGAAAATTTTAGTATTAAAATAATTCATAATTAACATGTTGAGCATGCTATCTAAAATCTCATGTTATGTTTTGATATAAAATACCTGATACATCGCTGCAGCAGACCAAGTAGTTGGCTCAGTAATGTAAAGTATTTGTTCCCAATTCTGCAAGTGTGGCACCATTTTGAAAGCCTTTGGCAGTTTACCTGATCTATATTTCTGTAATACATCTCTGACTCCTTCATACATTGTTTTTATCCTAGAAAATATATTTTAAATCAAGAATACACAACCAAACAATTTTTATTAGTTCAAAAGTTTGATGATTACTTTTGTTTCAAGAAACATTATATTATTATATGCTAGTGCTTTTATAGCCAGATGCGTGGATGTAATGGAAATTAAGAAAATTAGCAAATGTTCTTTCACCCTAGGCCCTAGGCTGTAAGAGAAGTGTTAGACTATTACTGACTTAAAACCCACAGTTACATTATTATACTTATAATTATGGTAAATAGCATTGAGCACTCTGTAGTTTTTGACTAATTATAGGCACAAAGTTGTATGTGTTATTTACCTTGGATCAATATTCTGTAATTTTAATGTCTCAACATCTGAGAACTGAGTCTGTAGTTCAGTGTTTTTTTCAGTGATCTTTTCTTTGATTATGTCAGCTAGAGTTCTTGTTCTCTCTGGTTTGGCTGACATAAACATTTTCAGTGCCTCCTCATCTTCTTCATTTATTTCTACATTGTCGTAATAAGTGTCTGGCTCTAAATCATCCTTGTCTGATCCTGTGTCATCATCTGAGTCTACATCTGTAAAAATAAATAAAAGAATTGTTGAAAATTACTCTACTCACATGAATAAACTGAGAAAAGCTCTACTAGTTTCAAGTTACAAATGGGCTCTTACTAAACTATTTCCAAATTTAACTAAATTTTATTATAAATTTTTAAGACATGATGATTGGCCTCTTTACCTCTGAATGTTGGTGGTAGTGTTACATGTTTGGCAGGAGAAGGACCTTCCTCTGCATCTCCTAATTCTGCCTGCTGCCTCCGGGCTGCTTTTAAGATTTTCTTTGACAGGTCTGCATTAACAAACTGTAATATAATAATATACCAAAAAAATTAAATCCTCAGACTGTGATTTATTACTTTAATTAACTGAAAATAATGAAAAAGATTGAAAATAATTGAAACATCAATTGCCTTCCTATTTATATTTCATAAATTTTGTATTTTATGTCCATATTTCCAGCGGTTAAATAATGCTTGTAAAACTATCTAACTTTGTAAATACTATCTCATTTATTATAGAAGGATATTATTAAAATATGTGACATAAGTATTTTGACTCCTATTTTTTCTATTCTTTCAGTTTATATGCAAATAAATACCACATTGTAACCTATACTCCTACACATAATTTATAAGTACACAAATAAATTCGATTATTGATGTAAATACGTATGAATTTTACTTCTTAAAATCAAAAGATAACTTACTTCTTCGTCATCATCATGCCTGTTCCTTTCTTTGACTCTGTTTCTATTTTTTACATTCTGTGCAGATTCAATTTGATCTGCTAAAGCTACATTTTTAGCAACCTGAGAAGGTTTAAGCTTTTTAGCTTTACCCATTATTTATTACCAGTATTGTTTAGTTATAAACTACAATAGTTATTGTACGATATAAAAGTAAAATTTAAATAACCACTTCACGACGATTGCGATACTGTGACGAGAAATACGAAAACATGTGCACTTAGGCTTTGACATAAAGTCTCAAACATTGACATTGACAATTTCATAAATGAAAGGAATGAAGCTACAGTGACATTTACATCAAATAATTCGCATAGACTATACAATATATACTGAGATAATTCGTTCTTTAATGTTGAAGCATTTCGATGCGTGGCGTGTCGTGTCACGTTTTATACTTAACGCAAAGGAAGCCCGAATAAATAACGTGGTGCGGCGTGAACTTTCGCGTCGGAAGCTAAGAATGTTTCTTACATCTATACTTATATTATAAAGAGGTAAAATTTGTAATGTGATGATAGCTACAATGTTCCTGCGTGCGATAGGCTATAAAACGTCACGTTACGATCAAATGGAGCAGCGGGCGAAACCGCGTGAAAGTAGCTATAATATATATTTAGTTACATAGTTACATATAATCAATGACGTATTATATATAGACACGTCATGAACCAACATCGCGGGGCTTAAAAACGGCGACAATACTAGATAACTACTTCTACGAGTAAAGAAAGGGAAAGAAAATATGACATCGTATAGTGGAATGCCTTTGCTAGAGGGAGATAAATATACATCTTCAGTTATGCCGACGGCACGTGACTATACCTTCATGCGCCGGCCGCCACAAGATGGCGGGCGCCGGCGTCGAAAAAAATATAAAATAAAAATAGGTTGTTTGGTGAACTTACGCATGAAATGACACATTTTTGTCTTTAACTTTTGGAGTATAATTTGTACATCGTCTGAACACACACGACGACATGCTTTCTTTATGTTTCGCACAGGTTTACACACACGATATAAATTAAAAACAAACGTAGC